ATCCAACCCTTGATTTCTTTTAATTTTGGAGCCCTTTGCAAGAGATCTGTTCTTGAGAAATTCTTGACTGTATTTTGCATGCAATTTAATATTCTTGGGTTTTGAGGCTTTTTGATAGATTCGGTGATTATTCTGATTGCATTTGGTTGATTTTAGTGGATGCTCTTGATTTAGTCTATTTTACTGTTGTTTTGGTTGTGTTTTCGTGAGCCATCTATTTTAGTTTGAAGGGATGTTATAATTTTTTATAGTTTGAGTCTGTCACTTTTTTTTAATTTTGTCAATTTCTGAGTGTGTCACTTTTTTTTATTGTCTATCACTTTTTTAATATGTATAACTTCTTTTAATTTGTGCCATTTTTTTGAATTCGTCACTTTTTCAAAATTTATCACTTTTTTTAATTTTTGTCACCTTTTAAGTTTTTTTCACTTTTTAAAAAGATAAAAAAAAATGAAATAATATGTTATATTTTTCTAACATAATCAACATGTGGATTGGCCTGAACATGGTGATTATTTTAAGAACATGATTACTGGTGCCCCCCAAATGGATGGTGTTATTTTGGTATTTGTCACTTTTTTTAGTTTTGTCACTTTTTTTGAATTTGTGTCACTTTTTTTAAAAAGGTAAAAAAGTGACATTGTGTCACTTTTTCATTTTACACAGTATTTTTCATTTCCTAAAAACCTTTCATATGATTTTTCAAAACATCCCTAATTTTAAGGGTATTTTTGTAAGTACCTCTATAGTTAATATCTGTGAATTTTTCCCCTATTTGAATCGACAGATTTTGGTTGGGTTCAGCCCAAACTTATCTGCTTGTTGGGTTTAATTTGTATTCATTGGACTTGACGTGCCTCAGCCTAATAATGGATTAAAATTTATGCGTAATTAGTACAAAATATCTCTATTTTTTGCTTTCTTTACTACTATGGTCCCATTGTTGCAATTTTGATATTTGTACCCTTTAATCAACCTTGTTTTTCACAAAAAGCCCTTTCCATCTCCTACCATCCATTTATTTTGTTAAATAGACGCGTGCTCTGCATATGATAAAAAAAAGGGAAGAAAATAAAATTTCAAAAGCAGATTCTTCATTAAAGTCCCACAAGTAACCCTCCTCCTTCCAGATACCAT